AATCAGTACGGCATCCGCTTTATTAATCCGAATAAATATCAATACTAGCTTTTACTGACTCCCCTGCGCTTCGTATGCTTCTTCATTCTTTATTCGCTTAAGTAGATTACCAAGCTTTTTTAAAGATAAAAACTGTTTAAAACCTTTTTTCTTAAAAATAAACACCCACTCTTGACCGTCCACTGATGTCATATGGTGGAAGTCGACCTTTGAAATGCTGAATGACGCTATCGATCATGGACAAAAGCAAACGAACAGTAGCAGCATCACTAGCACGTGGATCGGCACCATCAAACCAGTATATCTGCAAATAGGATAGTGATGCTACTTCTGCAAAATCTTCGGCTAAAATTTAACCTGATCTGAGCGAATATCTTTCACATGGTATTCATCTTTGTTCTTCCCGTCCATCAGCTGACCAGCGCTGAACAGTCCGCGTTCATAAAGACATTTGATCTCCCTAAATTTGTAATTAATTAGATTAATTGATTGTAAATGTGTTAACTAGTCAAAAGTATAACCCATAGTTTTCAGTCAATTTAATAGACTGTCTCGAACGAATATGTCGCAAAAATACGCAAACGGCGTACAAAGTAGGGCAGCCGGAAATTATGTACTGTGAGCAGAAGAACTACAGGTTGAAACCACTGTACTGCTCTAGTTAATCGAGTATTCTTTGTCAACAAAATTAGCTGACGGCCCTACTCGTACGTATTGCATCCACCCTTAAGGATCTGCAAAATGTCATAACACGTTTTTGCAAGCCTAGAACAAAATCTTATCTCCTTCTAACGCTAGACTGCATTGCAAAAACTTCCTTTGACCTTTTAAAAGACTTCGACGAAAATGCTGCATGACTTTCCTAAGAATAATAATTAACATTTTTTTGACATACGGATAGATAACACTTGACTGGTGGGATTACAACATAGAGCCGTTTTTCGTTTGTAATAAATGATGAGAGAAACTTGACGTTTCAAACCAAAAAAAATTGAAGCATATATAGAGTATACAGTCATCGTATCCCATATACTCTTCAGGCTTATGCTTTGAAAATCACTTAGTTCATAACGACCGCAGTGTTTCAAACAAGAGAAGAAGATGTTGAAAACAAAGAAATTTTAAGTTGGATTTACTAATATTGCTTCATTGAACATAAAGACCTCATAGCTTTCAGCAACTGATGACGCAATCCAATGCATTATTATTTTTCGCAGATTTCTCAAAAATATTTGTGATATTACGCTGATTAATCACTTAAGTGGTTGAAAGTAATTACTAGACTTTCATAGCAGGTTATATTACAGCTCTTGAATTACCATAGCACGAAAATATAAATAAAATTGACGAGATTTCCTCGAGAAATCATGGAAAAAGTTGTCATTTAATTCGAGAAAAGTTATCATTTGTATAATCCTAGGGAAGTTAAGTCCTCCAACGCACAACAAAACTAATAGTCAAGGCCAAACGCTTTTTTCCTTCTTATCCAGAAAA